GGGATAATGGAAAAGAAAACGGATTCTACTATCTAGGGTTTCAGGATTGTAGGGCCTAGGGTACACAACATGGTACAACTCAACCCAAACGCCCTACACGCATGTTATGCAAGTGCTTGTGAACTCTCAACCATGTTCACAACAGTGTACGGGCTTCCTTGAAGGCTCATGCACAAGTACTAATCATTCTTCTTGCTAATATGCTTAAGAAGTGGGCTATAAACTCAGCCTATTCTAAAAACCTAAACCCTAAACCCTAAACAATACCACTGGTAAACCTCCAAGCATACTCAACCCACAGCGGAAACAGCGAGGTCCCGGCTGAGACCTGATCACTCCATCTCGCGCTGTCCTTCCATGCAGCAATGTTGGGTACTGCCCCCTCCCAGTACAGTCTATATTAGGGGTCATATTAAGGGCTATATGTAACCCTATTATATTTATTATCCAACTGTTAGTCACGGGGGCAGTACCCAACAGCAATGTTTCGAGCTTACAGGTTCGAGGCCTAAACCCTAAACCCTAGGGTCTACAGTCCCCCTTAAGTGGATAGAATATGGCTTTGGTATATTATAATAAGATCCCCATATAGCCCATATTCTATCTACTTAAGGGGGACTATAGGGGTTTGGGTTCAGGATTCAGGGTTGAGGGCTGATGGGGCTCTGAGTTTTGGGATTCTGTGGCTGCCTTGTGCTTTTGCTCTCCCGAGGACCTTTGCACGGGAGTGATGGCAAGAATACAGGAGGCGAGATAGGGGGGAAGTAGGAGAAAAGGGTGCTTATTATGTAAGAATTGAATTCCCTGATTCCACCGGTTAAGAATCCTCCGGGTAAGATACGAGACTGACGTATCAGACGACTGTCAAGTTGCACAGTGTCCTACAAGAACTTATCAGCAGTTGCGTGAATCCTTGTTTTAGGGTCGTTTGGCTTTGGGGTTTCCAAAATATTGTGGCTGAAGGTCTGGGGCATTCCGGTACCGAGCGTGAATCATAGGATGCAAGGTTTAGGGATCAGGGACGCGGCCTTAGCGTTCAGGATTCAGGGCTTGCAGTTTTGGATTTCTGTTGCCGGGTTCTACGCTTCCATCGCACATTTTGAACCGTCCAGCCCCACATCACGACACCATTTGTCCTAATTGGAACACAATCAGTAACAAATGCATAAGCAAAAGGAACTGGTCAAATTTCAGGCTCAATGAACCTATCCAAAAACCTTGCAGGCAAAAGCAGGTTTCAAAACTAACAAGGGCCATTTAGAATGTTGAGACTTCAAGAATGGAGCTTGAGTCAGTTTGCAAACGTGCGCGGTTGCAAGAAAAAATACAGGGTTACCCATGCGTAACGCGAAAGCACCAACTTCGATCCTAAACCCTTTACCGGTTCCCTTGCACATGAGAAGTAAGCACAAAACACAATTTTCCAAGTGGCAAACCGAGGTTCAAGCCTTCAAGTTCTGGGTTTACCCTAGGTGCAGCCGCAACCCCTATTGCTGAAGTGCTCATTGTTCACAAGGGCTTACTTTTGCGCAGAGCTCCCGTGGTGGACTGCAAGGATCAGTCTAACAGATGCACTTCGGTGCTCGCAACCCCAAGGTTGCTAGCGTATTGGGGTCTTGTCTTTTGAAAGCAGGAAGAAGAAACAACCACATCAAGCGCTACAGCACTACGGAAGTACTGATAGGTGATGGCACACACTCCCGAAAGTCCTGTCGAGATCCGCTGCCTGCCTGTTTGGAGGTACGAAAAGTGGCGGGCTCTCAGGGTTGAATACCGGGGGGACCTCTGGGGAAACTTTTTGAAACTTACGGGCGTCATGGGATCCTTTGGCTCTCCTCCTATCATATCAATGTGGTCGGCTAAAAGCCTTCGGTTTTCAATGATATCATAAGCAGAGGTCTCTTGATGCACAAGGTAGCCAAATGCATGGCTGCATTTCAAGGTAATGGCCCATTCGCATGTTCCACATGATGAACTGCCCACAATATCAAATTGAGGTTTCATGGCGATATGCACTGAAACGCAAGCACGTCAAACACCTTTGGACGTGACACTGGCAGTGTTTCCGAAGGTTTCCTGCCTGTGGTAGTTGCATGATCTGATCAAGGTTTCCAGCTGCTGGGTTTTTTTGGTTTGGGACTGGGGTTCCGGGGATTCACGTTTTTTGTAGGATTTCAGGGCTGAAGATTCGGGAGATGTAGAATTCGCGTGTAGGGAATTGAGTTTCTAAATTTTGCTGCCATGCAGGATTTCCAATGATTTCCAATGATTTAAATTAGTCTGCAAGCATGGTCACGCCCTGATTCGGAAACAAAAAACCCGGATTCGGAAACTAAGAACACTGACTCGGAAACTAAAACCCCTGCCTCGGAAACTAAAAACACTGATTCGGAAACCAAGCTAATTCGGAAACTAAAAAAACCCTGATTCGGAAACTGAAAACCCTAATTCGGAAACTAAACACCCTGAGTCTGGAACTAAGAAACCCTGAGTCAGAAACTAAAAAGCCCTGAATCGGAACTAAGAAACCGTGAGTCGGAAACTAAGAAACCCTGATTCGGGAACCAAGAAAATCACCTTGCATATTGGCACAACAGTTTGAACTTCTGTACGGTCGTAACTGTTGGAAGATTTGACCCCCTTGGGAGTCCTAATCCCTAGACCCTAATCCTTAAACCTTTAACACTTAAGAGGACCCCTGTAAAAGTGTATAATACTAAGATAGTAGGACCCAAATATATTCTTTATTATCCCTTAAAATAGTATTACGGGTGGGGTGTCCACCTTATTTATCACACAATGGAACATCACTTTGAATTTCTGTAAGGCCGTCGCTCTTGAAAGAATCCCAATCCATAGACCTTAGACCCTTATATCACAACATGGAACAGCACTTTGAACTTCTGCAAGGCCTTAGCTTTTGGAGGGGTCCTAACCTCTAGACCCAAGTCCCTAAACCTGTATCACAAAGTTCAACAGCACTTTGAACTTCTGTAAGGCCTTAGCTTTTGGAGGAGTCCTAACCCCTACGCAAACCCTGATCGCTAAACCCTTATTTCACAAAATGGAAGAGCAATGTGAACTTCTGTAAGGCCCAGTCTCTTGGAGGAGACCCCAAGACATCCGAATCGTAATATTCAGAGCTGAAACAAGATTAGCCCCCCCCCCCTCGCCCCCCCCTCCCCCATCCCTCCCCCCCACCAAAGCGATTTGAGTTTCTGATGCTAGGATTTTTGTTTCCGAATCGGGGAGGTTAGTTTCCGAATCGGGGATTTCAGTTTCCGAATCGGGGAGCTTTAGTTTCCGAATCGCGGATTTGTAGTTTTGAAAACGCGGCGGCTCACATTTGAGCTACTGCTCGGGCTGTCTTCACTATCCAGGCCCGCGCACACTGGGACACACGGCGCGCCGGGTACTCCTGGAAAGGGGAACTTACTAGAATCTCAAGCCCCGAGCCTTTACACGCAGAGGACTCTGAAAAATTTGATGCTCCTCAAGCTTGATGAGACAAAGGCCGCAAGCCAAGCATCAATGTCACATGTTGTTTGGGACGCTTGTTCCAAAAAATACAAGCTTGATTTTAGGGGAATAAGAAGTTGTTAGCAAGACAAACAAGACCTCATATTCAATAATTGCACAAGCGTGGGTGCGCGCGTGTGTGTTTCCGAATGGGTGGTTTTTAGTTTCTGAATCGGAGTTTTTTAGTTTCCGAAGCGGTGATTTTTTTAGTTTCTGAAGCGGGGATTTTAAGTTCTGAATCGGGGTTTGCCTTCAAGCATCCACCGGTGGTTTCAACCCACGAAATTTGCGAAGAAGACTCTTGCAATGACCTTTTCTGGCACAGCCTCGCGCAAGGTTGGCCCACACAACTTCCTTTCATGCCAAGGCGTAACTCACAACTACGGACACGTCCTACATTGCGATGGCTGCACCAAAACATTTTTTGATAATGATTGCCACATCTCTAATTTTTCTCAATTTCTCAAAAGTGCGAAAACTTCGCGCTTCCGCCATTTCAATGCTCTTCCGTCTTTGCTTCGTTTTAAACGAACAATTCTCTCACAAGATCATTGCAAATGTTCATACTGTTGCAATCAAAAGCTTCTACCTGAACCTCCAACATTTTGTCACATTCTGCCACGTCGACACTAAACTAAAAAGCACGCGTTGAGCTCGAGCTGTTCGGACTCCGGCATTATGGTAGCGACATCGCGGAAGTTAAGCAGCTAGGCAACGTTGGGAACATGTTTTGTTGTTTCCATTGCTTGGCGTTTACCGTCTGCCTGACTGGCTACCTGTGTGTAGAGGCGGAGCCAACGAGGTGACGAATGTGACGAAAGGGCTCAGCCTTTGTCCCATTACACTGCAGCAAATCTTACTGCAACCACAGCCTCAAAAAATACTGCGTTCTAACCTTTTCCAGAACAAACCGTGGACAACCCAGAACTTCAAACGGACACGAAATCGTAGCACCCAAATGAACCCAATTACGACTGTTCTGCTTTTTTGTAAAGGTCAAGGCTATGGATTGCATACGGGCTGCAGGCTTCGGAATGCACACCAGGCTTAGCAAAGAGCCCGAGTCTGTGGCTGCGTCGCGGTCTTATCTTGCAAGTAACATAGGTATCTCAGAAAGTGAAAAATAGTAGTTTCCCAAAATAAGGGAACCCCAATATATACCCCAAAATACTATAGTCCTTATTATGGGGGCCGCCAATATGGTACCCCTAATTTTGGGAAACACCCAAATCTCTTTTACATCCTTTGAACCACTGGGGTCCGCTACCTTGGGCTATTGCGCGGGGCAGCGGATGCCGAGGTTCCGGTCGCGGCACCACACAAGACTGCGTGCTTGCGCAAGCCAAGGGATTTATGCTGGTAGGGGTCTCTTCACCGTAGAGCTCTCTAGCCTTGTGTTTACCTTCATCGCTGACAATTAAGCAAGCACCCGAACTGCAGAATCATGGCCCGTTTCCATGAACGCCATGGTTGCAGCAATTACAACTGCAAGCGGTCGTCAACACCCTTGCATGTGGTAAAAATTCGCTGCTTTGTCTGTGACTTCGACAGAAATGCTATGGTGTGCCAGTCTTCGTTCAAGATCCCAGATCAAAAGCCACCAGGCCGAAACTCACCCAAACATTCATCCCAAACCAAAAACTCCAAACCCGCCGCCTACGCCCGGACGCGACCTTCGGGCACTACTCCTTTGAACCCTGAATTTCAGCCATGATCATGACAAGGGCCTGCCCCAGCCATGATCATTACAAGGGCCTGAATAAGTGGAGTGATCATCTCGGGATGCCCTGGTAGTTTTCCAAAATAGGGGGACCCCAAGATAGATCCTAACAT